GGGATCACCGTTCAATAGTAAGTTAGCAGGCCTGCAGTATTGACTTCCAAAAGACAGAATGATAGCTGACAAGCAATTGAAGCTTGTTGAAAGACTGAAAAGGGGGAAACCAAAAGCCAGTTTATTTCGCAAACATGAAATTCCAGAAGGAATGATGTACTGTAAAATAAGCTCACTGTATTATAAGTACCTAATGTTTATTATATCAACATTTTATTTATGTTGAAAACTCTGGGGATGAGTATACTTCACAAATAAGTTGAAAAATGACTGAAGTACATCAGTTACCTACACCTTGACAACTGTTATCCCGTCGGTTTCTTCTAGAGGAAGATGCATTGGTTCAAAATGAGGCTCCTCTTCCTCACTTGCCACAAGAATTCCTTCAACAATATTCAACCTATATGCAGGATACAACAACCATTCTGTGCCCTCATCTGGGAGTCGTATTGAAGCATATTTTTCATTGTTTAGACAGTGTTCCCAGCTGCGCTTTAACCGTGATGTTTTGTCGATATCTCTGGCGAATATCGATGTGGGACTGTAAAGTTTTTTTTTTAAGAAGAGAGCCCAAAATGCTCTGAGAACAGATTTAATCAATTTTTTTCTCTACTAGAGAGAAAAAGAAGTAGTGTCTTGGATTGCGAGCCACAGATGAGGTTCTATGAACAAACGCATGGAAATCTGCATGGGCATCATATCTGCATGGGCATCATATTTAGCAGCCTGTTTTGCTGGAAGCAGCTGTTGGCCACAATCTTGTAATTACATTCCCACGCGGCCGTCAAGATGGTAAGAGGAGAGCTGAATGGATTCTAGTGATGATGAGCGGAGTTTCGGTTCAAAGGGAAAAAAAAGATTCTCTGCTGTGCCACAGCAGTAGTACTTCATTTTTGGCAATCCAAACATTTGCTTGATCACATTGCCTTAAGGTCTGCATACCATATTGTAAGCCTTTTCTCCTTCATATGTGGAATGCGTACAATTAAAAGTGAAGGGCAAACATGTCATTATTATAGCAATTGTTAATGATTTGCAAAGCAGACAGGTGGTTTGCAGTGGTTAACTATTAAATAGAAATAGAAAGTCAAGTGATTATTTTCTAGTTTCCTAATGCTTGTTACATCAGCTTTTCAATAACTAGAATGCCCTTTTCAATTCCAACATATAAATATTATACTATTTTTGTGTGTACACAGAATGTAGTATAATATAATACATACATGAAATCACAATGTACAGTATTTATCCACAGTTCAGATGATGATACTATATTTATGATTTACTTAAGTTAAGTAAATTAAGTTGGAAATTAAGGGAATATGTTTAAAACATATCTGGATGTTATTTCAACACTTGTGTGCAAAAGTTAGGCAGCCCTGGTTAAATTGTATTTCAACAAAATGAACATGAAGGTGACATAACCTCTACGGGGTACAAAGTTAAACCTACAGATTTAGCCATTCAAAATGCGCGGGCGATACCGCATTATTTTGCGGTGCGCTTTACGCTGTATACCGCGAGTTACCGTAAATTCTCCTATAATACCGCAATTAAAATAATAGTATCTGGAATTTCCGCAAGGTGGAGCTAATAAAGCTCAACCTCTCATGTTTGAGCTGTCGCCATCAAAGTCTTTAACGAAGATATTACTAATAGTATTAATAATGAATGACCTTGGACAGGCTGTAAACAAAGTATTGTCCTGGTCCACATTCTTTTTTTCATGGACCGTCTTTGTAAAAGTAACACCACAGCATTTCGTAATCACGCATTTGTTTCCAATCATGCAAAGTACAGTAATTTTTGAGAATCGATTCACCATGCCTTTCACATGCTCATAAAAGAGATTGATTTAAGAACATAAACATATTACCGTATGCAAACTGTACTGTATACAGTATGTATATGTATATTTAATGTCTTAACTGTGCCCGTTTAAGTATTGAATATTTATATGGAATTTTACCACTGAAGGGAAATCTTAGTACCTGAGCATAAAAAGAATAGGAGCATACTGTAACGCGTGTGAAGGCCTTAAACGATATTAATTTTGGAACTTAAACATACAGTATATGGCTGGTCTCGGTACTTTAAAGAAAACATACACACCAGTATTCCATTTCTCCCTAAACATTAAGCATCGAAGTCTTTAACTAACGTGATACCGGAGTCAACAAGCATACTTTTAGAATTTGATTAAAAGGGAATATAATATGGAATCGCGTATCTAAAGAAATTAATAATTTCCGGTGGCGCTGTGGGTTAGGTTCCTGACTCCCACCTCACACGGTCTGTGATCGAATCCCACTGGAGCAATGAATTTCTTTGAAAAAATGAAACGTTTCCTGAGTCAGAGATTAATTAAAACCTCACTCGCACCAAACAAATTTATATTTCTAAATGTCACAACATGATCGAATTTAAGTCATTTTAATAACAATGAATAGTCACCTAGGCATTACAATATAAACATTTATATTGATTTAAATCGCGTTTAAATCGCCTTTATTTAAAACCCATAAATAAAGCTGATACTGTTTAGACTTTTAATTATTTAAAACTGTATTACATCAGCACAATGCAATGAAATCGCTATCTTTGTCTTCTGTGTAATAATGTTCACCACTCTGTCCAGCAAATTAACAATAGTAATAATAATGAACTTTATTGTATATGGCGCCTTTAAAGGTGGCTCCTCAAAGCGCTTTACAGGTTAAAAACAATAACAACAATACTGTTAGGCTGGGCAAACGCTTTTTTTTTTAAGAAATACAAAATGAGATATAATGATGTGTTCTGGCTTAGACATTAACGAAGAGCATAACACGTGGGCGGCGTAGAGGTTGGCTCTGGCTTTCCCATCTACTGTATACACTGCGAGTACAACCCCCCTCTCTGCGGGAGTGCTGGCTGTGACAAATTAAACCGGTTTCACAGGTATTTTCCTCTTCCTGGTACAATACTGTATGTATAGCAAACCAGCACGTCTTTTTTCTCCAATCAGAGGGGTGTCAGATGGTTCGCTGGCATTATATCCTAGAAGACACAGACCGTGCCAGACTGGGAGAATGCCTGCAGCGTAAAAGAAAATGCCTGATGAACTAGGGATCGGACAGTTTCCAAGTGCTTGTACAATCGATGGAAATGTTCAAATAAGTGTGCAAAAGAAATTCACAAAATAATCATTTATTTCTTTATCATATTGGCTAGCTAATGTCCTCTCTTTGCTAGTTAGTGGCTGTGTTTCTGCGTTGGGTAGCAAAGGGTGAATGTTCTCAGGCGGGAGATGTAAACAGCTTAATTTTCGTGTTAAATAATTTTTGCAAGAAGACCTAAGAATATTTCTGAGCTAGAACATTTCTGCAGGGAAGAGTAGTGAAAAAAATCCAAAAGTAAGAATCTGAAGACTCTTAGATGGCAACAGGAAATGTTTGGAAGCTGTAGTTTCTGCCGATACAGATGTTGCTAAGTATTGACTGCTAGGGTGCTTTTGTACGTGCCATATTCATTATTTTATTATTTTGAATATCTACAAAACTGTCAATAAATACTAATTGTGCATTATAAGTTGCAGAAAGATGTCATGTTTAAGTTTGTACAACAAACTTCTTTTGTTGTACTTCTTTCCACTTAAGGTGCCTACACTTTTGTACAGAACTTTACCTTATGGTGTATTTGGTCCCTGACCGTGATTAAACACAGCAGATGGTGACAAAGTATTCGATTTGCGACAAGAGCTGTAGAATTACAAGTTACAAGTGCAATTACAAATTCTTGTTTATATGATTGTGTGGACTGGCGTTGTTTTTAGTGCAGTGTGTTTTTGTAATCATTGTCTTCAATTACTCTAGAAAATTGGACGTGACATAAAATATGAATTCTGATGTATCTGATGCTTTTGCTGATTAAGTTGTAACCAGCTATAACCTGATGGATTGGAATAATGGTAGATTGAGTCCCATCAAGTTGCCTATGACTCTGGGAACTGGTGCCCATGCACATACCTTCATGGCAATACATTTATCTGCCAGGACACGTTGTGATTGTAGTTATTTTGCTCATGGAATGTGTATATAACCATGTGAGCAACACTCTGTGCATTGGTTTAAATGAAAAACGTATGGTTTTGCTGGGAGTTTTGATTTGTAGCTGCAAGTGTAAATATATTCATCAATTGGTATATTTTTTGAATTTGTGAATCTCTTTACCATGATTTCTTAATAATACATGCATACATGCACCCATCTAAAATTATAGTATAGTATACAATATTCAATATTAATATGCCTGCATAAGTTTAATAAAAGGTTTTTTAAATAATACTTTTTTAATAAACATTTACTTTTGTAAAATAGTGACCTTAGTTTTACTTACTTGCGTTGCAAATCTGAGGTATTGGTCTTGTGAATTTGTGTATTTGTATGATACCTTCATCCAATATATTTGACAAATGTTACGTTAAAAAAAGTGTGCTCTTTCCTTCAAATAACTAAATACAAGGTACTCTATCTGCGATAATTCCCTGGTGTGTAGACAGTGCACTGTCTATGCACAAATATAGGATAGGTCCTCCTTCTTTTGCTAGATTCCTTACCAGTTCTACCAATCATCAGGGTGTTATGATGCCACTTTGCCAGTGAAGTTAATGATGTTTAACCAGTTTAAAATGCCAGCATTATTCTAAGCAGGGAAGCAGTAGATGCTGTTGTTTACTAAATTTATTATTTATCCTTCACTCAGTCAAGAGAACAAAAAGGCAAGTGGGATTTTGGCATTCAGTGTTCGGATAGACAACTTCCTTTACACCTCGCTCTCTTGTCTAGTTGACTTGATTAGATATTGAAGTGAAGTGGATCTGCTTTTCAGAGGCGTAAGATCAATTTGCAGGAGCTGTTCACACAAGATTTAAGAGGATTACAAGTGCAGGGTAATCTTCTTGACCAAATTAAGTATTCTTTTGTGTTGTATAATTTACATATTCTTCCTTTTTCTTTCAGGAGTCACCCCAGTGTATCTCAACATGTTTGGCCTTATGAGAGAATGCGACCGTAATTGGTACCCACCCAACCATGTCTTCCATGTGGATGAAGCCTCTTGTGAAACTGTGCTATTCAGAATCAGGTAAGAGGAGAAATAAGAATCTGCTAGCTTTCAAAAAATACCCTTGAAAGTCTGAAAATCTGCCAAAACATGCAGTAGATATTCATAGAATTGGTTAACAAATAAAAAATAGACAGTATAGACAAGTGGTTGATGTTAGATTTAGGTGATATATTTAGTGGAATACCACCTAGTATTAGAAAAAACAAAGCCTTATTTTCAGTTTAGTTGTAAAATACCAGAAAATATTTTTTATCCTACATCTCAATGCCATACAGTTACAGGTAATGGACAAAAAAATAGAAACACCTGGGTTAATGAGGGACAGAAGGTATATTGAAAGCAAGGGCTCCCACTCCAGTGTGGTTCAAGCATTAATTAAGCAAGTAACATCCCATTAAGCTTAGGATAAAGTATAAAAGTGTTGGACATGCCTTGTTGACTATACTTATTACTAGCTTGGCTGCAAGAGAAGTCCTACCTCCCTGGCATTGAAAGAGGAATGGTTATTGGGACATGTGTGGCAAAAGTGTCAACAGATGCTTCAGAAGCCACAGTTTCTAAGGTGATGTCAGCATGGAACTCTAAAGTAAAGACATCATCAACAAAGATCAACAGTGGGTCAATATACATACTTTAGGATTGTGACAGGAGACCAAACGGAAGGTCAGTTGACTGCAAATTTCAACCTGAAGCATGAGAAGCCAGTTTTATCAAAAAAGGTCTGTCAAGAATACCATAGAGTGAGATACCATAGTGGGTTGCAGTGCACAAAAACGACTCATCAAGCCTAGTCATGGATGTTTTTGAGTCCAGTTGTGCAAAGAGCACAAGCTTTTTTAAGTGCATTGGGGGCAACCTTGCTGTGAAAGACACTATATAAAAATAAATTGAATTGAATTGCACATCTGAGCTGTGATATAGTTTGAATGAATCATCCTTCACCATGTTCTTGACAGACAAATTAGTGCATGTGAGGCTGTATTGGCCACGCATGTTGACCCACAGTGATTTTAACTGACTTTACAGGCGTTTCTTTCTTTTCCACTACCTGTATTTACAGTAATTTACATTAGAGGACAGCAGGTCCATTTAATGTTATAACCCTTCTCTTTCAAACAGGTATTATTTCCCTGACTGGTACAGCAATGGATCCATCAGAGCATATCGATATGGGGTGATGAAGGGTTCAGAGAGCCCAGTCCTTGATGATTCTGTAATGTCTTACCTCTTTGCTCAGGTGAGCACAATGCTATGTTTCTATTCTGTTCAACATAATGAACACAGCAGAGCAGGTGAGGTGAGTAGTTTGTATTCAAGGAAGACCAGGAATATAAGTCTAGAAAAGTTTAGTACTTTATTTTCATTGCTCAACCAATTGTTGTTTGACACCAAGAATCATAAAATAACCTAGTCAAATGTATTCACTTGAATATGTATGCCACTGCATGCTGGATCAGTAGTGCAAATAAACCATAGATTATCCCACCTACTGACAAATATAAATACTCACAAGTGTCTCTTAGTTTAAAATCAAATGGCTTTCAAATGACAACCCTCACAATAACAAAACACATTGTGGTCATTGTAAATTTATTTTTGCAGTTTTGACCCCACCTACCATGTTTAGAAAAATCACTTTTTATTAAAATTGTTTTTTTCAAAGAATTCGTTTTTCTAGAGGGTTATCACTAAAACTTGAGTTTTCTCTTCATGTTGCTTCTAATGTCTCTAGTTAAATGAATAGAACTGAAGTGATATGATGCAAAAATGGATATGTATGCTTGAGGTCATATGTATGTATGATTTTCTGTATCCAGGAATAAACTCACCATTCAGACAATGCAGAAGAAAGGTTTTAAAAAAATGATTAAATTTAATTATCAAAAAATAAAGGCATCTAGAATAGATATCGCAATATTGCCTTGGCGTGGTCAATAAAGCAATATGGACCCTATGGAGTTTGTTGACTATCCTCATCAGTTTGCATGTTTTTCATAGTGCTTTCTGAGAATTTTGTACAGTTTACCTATGCCTGGGCTCTGTAAATCTATGTATTTGTAGTCTTTTTGAAATTATACAACTAAATGCCAGTTATGAATATTGTACAAAGCTGCAGATAATTGAACAATTTGTGTTGAACAATTTGCATACTACTGTGTCGAACACGTAAAAATATGTTCTTTATAATTATGAAATATAATTTCATAATTTCACAAAAGGGGTAATGCAAAATGAGAAATGTATTCAATATAACTCAGATTGTGTTAATTCATTTTACTGGACACACAACAGTGCTTTCAGTCTCTTTATAATAAAAAAAATGGAATGATTATTCCAGTTATTCATGATTGGTTACTTCCAACTGCTGGTTTTGTGACTTTCCTTTGAATTACCATTTAGGAGAAATTGAATTTGCTTACTCATAAGAAGTCCCTAAAGTTATTTTTTTAAAGCAGCTCTAAAGGCAAAAGTGTTAAATAACCTTAGAGAAACAGTGATTGTAAAATAACCCTTAGAGAAACAGTGATTGTAAAATAACAGAAGTGAAGACATAGCCACTAACACTAAGCCTTCCACATGAAAGCAGGCAAAGGTTTCCAGTCTTTTTATTGGCCTGTCTACCTACCCACTGCTACCAGTTAAGAACACACTGAGGATTAAACTTTCTATTTTTTACTTTTTTCGGTTTATGGCTTAGTAAGTTGCATATGATGGTGAGTGGTTTACTTTTTCCAACGTGCATTTTTAAGATGAAAATTAGAAAATGTATCACCAATTTCACACATCCCTAAGGCTTCAAGAGTCCTGTCAGCAACATGGAAGTAAGGACAAGCAAGAGATCTCTAAGCCCAAAGAAATCACCTGAACAAAAAGAGAAACGGAGACAGATTATGACTTCTGAAAACTCAAATGAAAACTGTCAAGTACAGTGATGTAGTGGTTCTTTTCTAAACTGAAAAGTGTAAATAGCAGTATTTCATGTAAGAATAAAAAATGTATAATAGTTTTTGTCCTAATTAGAGTTGCAGAGGTGAGTATTGTGTCAATTTAATATGTACACTGTCCGATGTCTTTAGTTTATCGGTAAACCTGCTTTAATGTGCTTGAAGAGTTGAAGAGCAAAACCACTGACAAATTTATTCATCATCTCTCCTAGATGTTTCAGTCCAAAGGAGGTTAACTACTTTTTTGGTACTCTTAACAGGTTTCAGGAATGCTCAAAACTAAAATGCTGGATTGTACAAAGTATTGTTTTGAGACTGACAAACAAGAAACACAACAGACAAATGCAATAGTCATGTAGTCAGTGAGATTCATAGTGAATATTTTTTGTGGTTATTTCGTGTATGCAGTTTTTCTCCCTCAGCTTGAATGTGGCAGGAATAGTGCTATTCAGTTTGACATCATAGTAGTGTACTTTAATTGCCATGCATGGTTTGCTCCTTTAGTTAAAATCAGATCACTTCCTTTTATTCACCTTAGTTTTGAAAGCTCATGAGGTTTTAAAGTTCTGCAAAATTTAATGAAACATCTATGGGGACATCTACCACAACATGCAGTTGCCATCAGATAAATATTAGATCTTATAATAATACTTTAAAGTATCTTCTTAAAGTGCTTTACAAATGAAAACATTAACAAAGATAGGAAATGTATTTAGCACAAAGAAACACAAGGGGTTAGAAATACAGTACAGGAGAAAATGCAAGGAGCAGACACAAAATACCAATTACAATAAAAGCCTTTCTGAAGAAGAGTGTATTTGAATACGCTCAGGGTAGGTGTCGCCCTGATATCCTTAGAGATAGAATTCCAGAGCCTTGGGGCATAACAAGAGAAGGCTCTGTTACCTGTTGCATGTAGAGGGACTTTGGGGACAAACAGGAGACCAGAGTCAGAGGAACGAAGATTGTGAGATGGTGAGTAGGAAGATAATTAGTCAGATGGGTTCCAAGGTGACAAGCCATGCAGAGCCTTATAGCTTAGCATGAGGATTTTGAAGTCGACACGAATCCTGATGGAAAGCCAGTGCAAGGACTCCAGGAGAGAAGTAATGTGATTACTTGCTCAAGGCATGATCAGAATTCTGGCTGAAAAATTCTGGACATACTGAAGTTTCTTTAGTGTGGATATACAGTAGGTGCCCCAGTAAGTAGGGCATTACAGTAATCAGTTCCAGAGAAGTCAAAAGTGTTGACCAGCTGTTCAGCTACAGTCGGAGACAACATAGAACATAGTCTGACGATATTTCTGAGTTGGAAGAATGATGTTTTCACAATAGTTTGCACTTGTAGGTCAAAAGTCATGCCTGGATCAAATTTCGCTCCCAAGATCTTCAGTTTAGATTGAAATTCAAGTACAGTCAAATTCACAGACAAGGTTACTGCATTAGATTTACAAAGTTGATGGGAGGTGCCATGAAGCATGACTTCAGTCTTGTCGCAGCTTAAATGAAGGAAATTTTGAGTCATCCAGAATTTTATGTCCAAGATGCTGTTATACAGTGCAGAAACATGTGCTTCAGTTTTAGGTTTAGTATGGATGTAGATTTGATCATCAGCATAGATGTGATATTTAAAATCATATGGTCTGAATTAACTGACCAAGTGGGAACATGGAAATACTGAATAGATATGGTGTTTACAGTACGATTGCTGCCTGCAGTTTGTTGAACTGACTCTCCGTCAGCTGTGTTTTTCATTACTCGGAGAGTTATTCAGAGTTTTGACCTTTTATTTCTGATACCCATCCATATTACTTTCACATTATTTTTTAAATCTCAGTTACCTCATTAGATTTTCTTCAGTATTCTTTCATTTTTTTCTGTACCCTACTGTTTTTTCCTCCAGCAACTGATCAGCCCATTGTGTGTCACAGTTGTATCATAACAGGATCTTTTATATAGGCAGGACAACAGACAGCTCAAACTCATCTGTAAGTTTTAAAGTTGACAGTGCAGGGAGTAAAGAAACCAAACCAACACCCAAAGAAAACCCTGTGCTCCCTTTTCAACTTCTGGTAAACCTTTGTACAGCATCCCTCTCTATCATACTGGGCAGCTTAAAAGCTTCAGAACAATTCAGTCTCTCTCCACAGTTCTCCTCAAAACTACTCTCTCCCTCTGAGACTCTTCACAATCATGTACTTCCAAAGTTCTCAAAACTCACAATTCCTTGTCACTTAGTGGGTCGCTTCTATCTCCCCTCCCTCTTGTAAGTGTGAATTACAGAGGATCTGCCTGGTACTTCCATACAGTAGATTGACTAATGCAAAAAGCCTCTGCTTCCTGGTTTTTAAGCTTTCTGACTGGGAGCAGCAGCTCATTCCCCCAGAGGTTTCTGGGAAATGTGGTCCAGACAGGGCTGCTCTCTTACACTACCTTATTGTAACATAAATCAGAAAAGCCATTCACTTCAACGCTGTATGACACATGATTGAAGTACTAAAGTTTTAATTTATTAGTAATAATTCTTTGCAATTATATAGCTGTTTTCATCCTAATAGATCACAAAGTGCTTTTCATACCAACTTAATTCATCACTGAATAAAGTCAGTGCTGATGCACTGCTGATGCACAGCAGTCATAATACTGCAGCAGTGCCACTATACAGGTTCAGATGGAGAGGTGGAGAAACTACTTTGAATAAAAAGGGAAACTTTAGGGAGGCTAGATTGTGTAAATTCAGAAGATAATAATAATAATAAAAAACTTTATTTTATATAGCGCCTTTTAAGGTGGCTTTTTTAAAGAGCTTTACAGGATGACAATAACAATAAATAAGAAGACTACAACAATAAATAAGAAGACTACAACAATAAATAAGAAGATTTCACAAGATAGGACACAATTATAATTACAACAATACAACAATAACAATAGAGGAGACCGTGGAAGGTGGTATTAAGAAGAGCAGAGGGGTG